CATAAAGATTACAGCCTTGAAAACCCTATGGGGCAGTTTTACTCTGTCCTGTAGGGTCACTATGAGTCAGAATTAACTCAATGGCAATGGCTTTGGTTTTTAATTTTAGTGATTATCATGTGACATTTTTATGAAGATTAAGATTAAGTAGCATATGTAAAGTAGTTGGCACAAAGTTGGTACTAAATAAATATTATAAATAATAATTCATTATAATGATTTTTTCAGTACCTGTGATTATCACTGTATTTACTTGTCATATTCAAGTGATTGTGTTCCTCCGTATACTCACTGTAGTCCTGTGTGTATTTATCTCTAAACAAAGGATCAGAAGGAATTTGATAATTTGAAAATAGCTGAATATAACTTTTCTTAAAAGTAACCAGTATTTAACACATATATCAAATTCCTTCTGATCCTTCTTTTGGGAGACTCTATGACCCCACATTTTTCACATTTTCACAAAATTTCTATTTTCCATTTTTCTTTGATCCCTCCCCCCATTCTCTCTCTCTCATGAAACTAGAGATCCCTAGACCTTATTTTTCAAACTTTTAAGAATAACTACTTCCTGATTCTTGTATGCAAACAGACTCTGGTTAAAACATTTCTTTTATATTAACTTTAAATTATTAATTTATTTACAATGTGTGGTATTATATGTCTATTAGACCTTCCTATGCAGTCATTTTACAATATCAACCATGTCAATTTTACAATGTCAAAATCTGAAAGAAGGATTTGTGTTATTTGTATTTATCCTATAAGCCATTTGTCACTATTTACCTATTTATTTCTTGGATAGATAGACAGACAGACAGATAGACAGATAGACAGACAGCTGCCGTCCAGTTAACTCCAACTCATGGTGATCCTGTGTACAACAGAATGAAACACTGCCCCTTCCTGAGTCATCCTCACCATCGTGGCATGCTCAAGTCTATCCTTGCAGTTATTGTGCAAATCCATCTCACCGAAGGTCTCCCTCGCCCTTGTTGGCCCTCTGCTTCACCAAACATGATGTCCTCCTTCAGGGAGTGATCCCTCCTGATGATGTGTCCAAAGCAAACAAGTCAGACAATGTTCTGTTGTGATCCATAAGATTTCCACTGGCTAATTTTCAGAAATAGATTGCCAGGTCATTTTTCCTAGTCTATCTTATTCTAAAAGCTCTGCTGAAACCTGTTTACCATGGGTGACCCTGTGGTATTTAAAATACTGGTGGCATATTTTTCAGCAACACAGCAACATACAAGCCACCACACAAGCCATCACAACAAACTGACAGATGAGTGGTAGATTTGAGGGATAGTGATTGTTTAATAATTATTAGCATAAAACACCTCATTTTTTTCTATTCTAAAATAGTCCCATCAACCATGTTTTTACATACTTCCCTACTAGTAGAATAATTTGAAGTAAAGGCTCTAACATCTATATAATTTCCCATTTAAATGGGAGATAATGTTATAAATAAATGTTATGGTGAAGAACATGGATCTTGTGGTCAGTTAATCTGTATACAAATTTAACTCCACTTTCTAATGGCTGTGTGACTATATTAGTCAGAAACCTTTGAGTTACAAGTGGTGGAAAATGTACTCAATCTGTCCTGAACAAACAAATCAAAGAGGACTTTATTGCCTCTTATAACTGGGAAAGTAAAGGTTCAATCAGAATTTAGTCATAGGCAGATCAGGGGACTTAGATGGGGTTTTCAGTCCTCTCTTCCCCTTCTCTCACTACTTCTCAATTCTTTATCTCTTTATGCATTGGATATGTGCTCACCTAACTTCTGATGTGCTTTCTCTCAGGGGTAAGAAAATGATGGCCATTTCCTACACCTGCCATTTCCTAAACTTTCAAAAAAATCATAGCAGAGGACTCTGATTGAGTCAGCTTGGCTCTCAAGCACACCCCTAAGCCTATCATTTTCGTCAGGAGAAATTAAGAAATTCTGACTAGCCCACTGCGACCAGAGGGGCAGATACACTGGCTAGAAATCCTGCCAGAATCACCTGATAGATGTGGACCTTTTTTTCTATCAGCCTGAGTTTTCTTATCTACAAAATATGAAATCACCCTCCCCAACAGGGTAGTAACAAAGATTAAATGATATTATGTTTGTAAAGAACATAGTATAGGACCTGAGAAATAAGTGATAGCTATTAAAATTTTTTATAATGATAAAAATAAAAATGAAGGTTATATAGTAGAAACTGAACCAACCTTCCTGTCTTGATCTGTAATTGTATTTTTCTCTTGTCTTGTAACAAACCTGCACATCTCCTTCACCACCACCAAGGATATTGCAAAGGCAAAGAGCAGGGACCCATGACTTTTATTTCTCATGTTTCCATGCAAACAACTATCACAGGGAAAAGAAGGAAACTAACATATATGAAACAATATGCATTTTGCTAGAGACGTGCATTTTGCATGTGATCTATTTTATGCATCAAATATAGCAACTTACTCAGAGCAACTACTTGATAGCTATTTGATTAAGGAGTTCAACAAATACAAACTGATTGATGTTACACATCTGGCATAACATCTTAAAAGTTTGGTTCAAGACAAAACAGAGGGGTTCTATTGTATTATAAGTAATAGCAACTCTTTGATATTCCACCTTTAAAAATACACTTTCATAAGGGCTCTTTAAACTCTTTTGAAAAAAAAAAAAAAAAACCGTTCTAATAGAAAGCACAATCTGAGCCATTTGGAATTTTAAGTTCCGGAGTCTTAAAGCTACCGTTAATTACAGTTGCAAAGGGTACACTCCATTTAGAAATATACTGCCTTTGCATGGGAATTAACAGTCTGAAATCAATTAGATTGTACAAAGTAAGTTGGTTTGTTGAATTGGAAAATTTCAAACTCACTGATACTGTGACATAGTTGTGTATACACTTTTGGCGGACTTTTTACCCTTATCTTTGGGAAATACTTTGGTTTAGCCCATCAGCACTTCTGACTTTTTTTTTTTTTAGAGGGGGGTCCTTTCACACTTTTTTCTCTTTTAACACTGAGGAATTGTCCGGAGCTTGGGGAGCCCAGAAAGCCAAAGATATTTTCAGACAGAAACAGCTAAGATGCAACTGAACTTAAACCCATGCATAATATTAGTTCCAAATATTGGAGAGAAAATTCTGAATTCAGAAGTGATGACTAAGCTTTCACCCAGACAACCCTAGGCAGATGATATAGTGGTAAAAAGGCACCTAAGATTCCTTCCTAAGGAATAACACCAGGACTATACTTCATAACGAGGCTAAATTGATTCACTGGGGGAAACAATTATCCCCTATTGCTTTCTTCTGTAGTTCCATTTTTTTCTTGTAACTTGTAACACCTGTACCCATTGTCACTGAGTTGATTTCAACTCAGTGATCCTATAGGACACAGCAGAATTGCCTCATAGGGTTTTCAAGGCTGTAAATCTTTACAGAAGCAGACTAACACATCTTTCTCCTGCAGAGTGGCTTGTGGGTTTGAACCACTGACCTTTTGGTTAGCAGCTGAGTGCTTAACCACTGTGCCACCAGGGCTCCTGTAACAGCTTTATTGAGATATAATTCACATACCATACAACTCATCCATTTAAAGCGTGCAATTCAATGTTTTTTTGTATATTCACAAAGCTGTGCAACCACCATCACACCTTGCATTACTGAGATTCACAAATGCTGCATGTTAAGTTCACTCTACCCTTTCAGTGCAACATATCCTGAAACTCTAAGGGAAATGAAAGAGAGACTAGGGGAGGGGAGAAGAACTTACAACAGGAAGGTTGGTGAAACAAACTATAGTCTCTTGACTATTCTTGAGGTCATAATTGATATTCATAATTTCCCTCCTCTACCACCCACCCCAAATTCGCCTCTCCCTTGGCCAAACTGCTTCTAGTCTAGGATCATTGCCTGGTACAATGACCCAGACTTTTATCCTTGAAGGTCTGAGACCCTGGTTACTTTTCTTTGTCAAGATGTTGCTGCTGCAATTGCTCTCTGGGTTATCACTGGGCATGCAAGCTTCAAGAGGCAACCAGTGAATTCCAGGAGTCCAGACATTCTACTCCCTGCTCCATTATGTAGCAACAATCCTATCTCATCAGGAGGATTAGGATGAATTATTCCCGACTAGAAGATGTGGGGAGCCCTGGTGGTGTAGTGGTTAACTGCTCGGCTACTAATCAAAAGGTCAGCAATTCGAATCCACCAGCTGCTCCTTGGAAGCTCTATGGGGCAGGTTCTACTCTGGCAGATGGGGTCACTATGAGTCAGAATGGACTCGATGGCAATGGGTTTGGTTTTTCATTTTGTAAGATGTGGAGCTATAAGATGTGGACTATAAGTTGAGGAGCCCTGGTAGCACAGTGGTTAAAGTGCTTGACTGCTAACCGAAAGGGCGGGAGTTCGAACCCACCAGCCACTCCACTCTGTAAAAATTTACAGCCTTGGAAACCCTATGGGGTTGCTATGAGTCAGAATGGACTTGGCGGTAGTGAGTTTTTAGGGTTATTTTTGATATAGTAACTGCCTTCTCTGACTGCTAGTCTATAAACATGAGGAGCCAGAAATGTCCAGGCAGCAAAAGAAGTTTTAGGGTTAGTGAGACTTTTATTTTGTCGCCTGGTAGAAGTATTTTTCCCTCCCCACTTTGGGAATCAACGCCACCAACCCTGTAGAACCTGAAGTTGGAGCAAGAAGCAGTTCACTTTTTTAGTGGATCATTAAAAGTGATGTGAGAGGGTTCACTCTTACATCTACCCTTTGGTTACAGAGTATAAGGAGCAGCATAGACATGAGACAAGGAAGTATAAACAGGGGGAAGACAGATGTCACGTGAAGATCACCAAAGAAAAGAAGAACGCTGGGGCTACAGGAGCTGAGACAAGGATCTTCCCCCAGAGCCTTCCCCTATGGCCACTGTCTTGAATTTAGACTTCTAGCCCTTTAAACTGTAAGAAAATAAACTTCTCTTCTTTAAAGCCACCAGCTGTGGTATTTCTATTATAGCAGCACTAGGAAACGAAAACAGGAAGTGAGAAAAGGAAGCCACTAAAAGGCAAATTAAATGAGAAGGTTATCCCTATAGGAATCTGGGGCTTAACTGCTCTGAGGACCTCTGAGAGACTGCACTGAGCGTGCCTCAGATGGAAAAATAATGCCATTTAAAAACAGTAGCTATATGAAGGCATATTCCTCTGATTAACTAAAAAAGGTATATATGCTGCTTACTTTCTTGGTCTCAAAATTGGTATGAACAGTAAGTGCAGATGGAATAGACTAATCTGAGCTTTAATAGTGTCCAGCAGTTCCTTGAAGTGCACATTTCTCATCTTGTCTTTAAAATAAGGTTTTAGAAATGCATTCTGAGAAGCTTGGTTACACAGTCAAAAAGAAGTCCACGATGCTAAAAAAAACTTCAAATGCTTTCAGAAACAGGGAAACAGCATCTTGTAATGTTTTATTTTTCACTTGTGAAAATATATATAATATATATTACAAGTACAGAAAAGCCCCACAGCTTGAGTCAGAGGAAGCTGACAGAAGGGCACATACAGGGGGCAGGCATTTCCACACAGTTTTCAGTTAAGCCAACATTCATTCAGGGCACACAAGTGACAATGAAGGCCACAAAAACACAGGGAGGCTGTGCACACGACTCTGAAGAGCTAAATCAGAGACAGGTCTTGGGGCTGTCCAGAATAGAGGTCATCTCTGGAGTAAATGCCGTTTTCACTGACAGATCATCAGAGAACATATGGAAATCTAGGCAAAACTACCAGGGTCACAGCAAAAGCTAATCCTTAACTTGACAGCAAGCCTGCTCTTCTCTCGTTTTCTGTTTGAGATCTGAGGTCTTTCTAGATTTAAAGAAACAAACACAAAGACTGGTTCTGGCCCTGCAGAATTTTGGTCAGCTACGAGACAGAATGTTGTAACTGATTAAATATTTTAAAAGCTTGTAAACACTGTGATGATGGTGGGGGAAAAAACGTCAAAAATATTTTCTATTTCTCTCTTATAGGAAAGACACAGGCTGAGATCTTTGGCATGCCACATATGTATCCCTCTCCTGATATTTACCTGAAATGGTAAAAATTAAGGCACAATGGATGGGGTGATGTGGTTATTTTCATCATTTACCAAGAAAGGAGGCCACTAGGATTTGGCACAGCTAGAGCAGCTGACAACCCTGGATGAGGTGAGATGGGGCTTCACGATGTCCGGCTCAGTAGACTCCAGGAAGTCACACTCATTTGCCAGTATGTGTTTCACCAGACATCTGGAGGCTTCATCGATGTTTATATTTTCCTAAGGGGGGGTAAAAAAAAAAACAAAAAAAAAAAACATCTTTTCTTATTCGGTATTCTAAAATAACTCTGGAGCAGAGACCTATGTGTGATAGAAGGGCAGTATTTTTTTGGCAATTCATTTAAATATCCTTTCCTATACCCAAACAGAGCCCTGGTGGTGCAGTGGTTAAGAGCTTGGCTGCTAACCAAAAGGTCAGTAGTTCAAATCCACCAGCCTCTCCCTGGAAACCCTATGGGGCAGTTCTACTCTGTCCTATAGGGTCACTGTGAGTCAGAATCAACTAGATGGCAACTTTTTTTTTAATACTCTGAACATGCACCTTCTTTCTATCTCCCTCACTCTCATTTATTCCCTTCAAAGAATTCCACCTTTTAGGCCTTCACAAATGTAAAAAGATTTCTTTTGTTTTGTCATATAGGAGGAATACTGTTTGCTGGACTCACTTCTGGTTGTTGTCAGGTGCCGTCAAGTCAATTTCGACTCATAGTGACCCTCTATGACAGAGTAGAACATCCCCATAGGGCTTCCTAGGCTGAATCTTTACAGAAGCAGATCACCAGGTCTTTCTCCTGCAGAGCCACTGGGTGTGCTCAAATCATCAGCCTCTGATTTACCAGCTGAGTGCTTAACCACTGCATCACGAGGGCTCCTTTGGATTCACTTAGTAGGCTGAATTTAAGTTAGACATCAATTTTCTTATTTTCACCTACTCTTACACTATAGCATAATACTGCATAATAAATATAACTTAGGTACATAAAATATTTTAAAAGCTTGTAAACACTGTGCTGATGGTACCACATACTATTTTTGCAATCTTGGTATGAAATAGAAATAAGAAATCTCTTACAGTGGTTGTTGGTGCTTTCACATATATTTCTGGCTCTCTCACAGTCAAATGGTAGGAGTACACTGTTTGACCTCTTTGGACATGTGACTTTCATTGGCCAATAAAATGTGAGAAGTAATGCGTGTCACGTTCATATAAAAGCAATGAGCCAGTGCTCAGTTCACTCTGTTCTTTTCTCCCTGCTTCTGTAGTCATGGAGATGGAACTTCCCTTGGCCTGGGTCCATAAGTGAGGATCAAATAGAGCCAAGTACCTCAGTCGGCACGTGATAATCGTGCAGCACGAGTTAGAATTAAGCCTTTGTTGTTTAAGTCACTGAGATTTGGGCAGTGTTTACTACTGTGGCAAAACCTAGATAATCCAGATAGATTCTATCTCTTTAAGAAGGGAAAGTATAAAATCATAAATATGAAACTAGTTTCAAGAAAAAAATAAGCTTTAATTTGGGGAAAATATGGAGCAAGCATTTGGACCTAAAACATATTGTTTACTCAGTTACTACAGATTTAATTGTCTTTTTGTTTCTGCTAGTCAGAAATCTGAGAAATACTGAATATTTACTACCAATGTGCTAAACAAAGAATCTATTTGCTGAGGTAAGATGAGGTAAAGAGAAGATGACCGGTAATGTTAAACTTGACTGTTTTTAGTCACAATTTGCAGAACCTTCCTAATGTTTCCTCATAATTAATGTAAAGAGATACAGACTGACTTGTTAAATTGTTTAACTATAATATCTTGTTTTCCAAGCTCAAGTGTAAACTACTCATCGCTGGTTTTTGTATGTTTTGTCAAGGTTGTTGACATATTTTGAGATCATGAAGTCATACTACAAGGCAAATTTAAGAGGTAGGAATGGCTTCCAAATTGCATCTCTGGCTAATGACATTTGATGTAAATATTCATTACCAAGCTCCCCACCCTTCACACCCCACCCTGAGTTTGCCTGCTAAGAAAGCTTAAGATAACTTTTGC